AGTAGAAGTTTACTTTGTCATTAGAATACCAGGAAATATCAGTGAAAAAACACTAAGCTGACTCTAACACCTACTTTCATGTAGGTACTTCAGAAGGCAAGAATGTAAACCGAGTTTTGGATGTGTTTGTTTGAATGATAAAATAGTGCATGAAAGAAAATCAAAACACACATTTGAGCCATCTTTTCAAACTTCCCCATCCTTTCAACTTTATGTAGAAAATAGGTTCTGTGTTTTGTGTGTAAGTACATCTATAAAAATACTCATTTCATAACCCAGTAACATAAGAATCTAACTGGGCCCATATGAAAATTGCTGGAGTAACTTTTAATGACAATTAAGGTTACATTAAAAGTTTCTTAAAATGCAGCAAATAGATTCCTAAAATGAAACTCCAAGAAGGAACCTGCCATAATTCAAATTACATTGTCACTCTATATATTGCTAATCTACAAGTCTTATATTTACCAAGATTGAAGACATAGCTGTCTCCAAATAAAAAAAGGAACTTGGAAATAGTAGTTTTGGAAATGACCTTGACTGCCACATTGCTTTACTGGCAGTGACAATCAGAGTTAAAACTTCAACCTAAGCAGGCACCAGGGATGGAAACTGCACGGTACTCTAAGGGATACTGAACATGAAATTTTAACAACCTACTGAGCAAATGTCACTTTACATGCATCCTCCTAAGAAAATGAAATAAATAATTTTGATATGAAAATTGGATTTCAGAAATGTTACAGGGTTAATTTTGATAACAGCAATTAGGTTCTTGTTCGGTGTAGTTACTTAGCAGCAACTGCATGCTAACAAACTCCTTGAACTATTTCTTCAAGTGTCAAGTTGCACTTGTTTGATTAGAAGAATGTAAGATCAGAGATTAGTAACTTTAAACTGTTGTAAACAGTTCTAATACCGGATCTTTAATAATAAAGCAGTGTCATTCAGGTTGGAATAAAAATGAATTGTGGACCAGGGGGTACTGCACACCTTAATTACAGACTCTGGAGGCAGATGTAGGCAGATCCACTAGTTCAAGGCCAGCCTGAATTATAGAACAAGTTTCAGGGCAGCCAGCACTAGACAGAGATGAATGAATATGAGTGTGTAATCCCAGGTTAAAAACTGGAACAGCACTAGACCTCATCTAACAATAACTGTTGTAGCCACCAAGTGAAGGCATCTCAGCTAGTCCACTCCTAGGACCTTTCTGTTACTACTCATCAGTGATAAAATGCATATCCCTATGAGACAGAAATTAAACTTCTTTGGGTCAAACTTAGGATACTTTTCCAGATACATGACACTCAATTTAGGATGATTTTCTCAACATTACTCAGAGAAAATCAAAACTAGAATTCTTTATTTAAAGACTTCCTTTTTTATCCTAGAAAAAATAGTAACATTATATTATATGTTTATTGCTTTAATTTTTTTCTATTGGGTATAAAACTCAAAGAGCAGTTCCTAAGTTTTCACTGTTTCCCAGCAACGTTCTCTGAGTGCTGAACTGAAAAGTCAGTTCTAGTACAGCCAAGGCTACAAAGAGAAACCCTGTTTTGAAAAAGCAAAGAAACAAGCAAAAGAGATTGAGAAAGGGGGGGGGGAGGAAGGAAGAAAGGAAGGAAAGGGAGGAAGGAAGGAAGAAGAAAAGGAAAAGGCTGACTTGGTGGTGATCAGGTTTTTTTTGTTTGTTTGTTTTTGTTTTTTAGGATTCTGTTCAGGCTGTATGAAATGATTCAATTTTTGTCAACTAAGTGAATGGTGATCATATTAATGCAAATGTGCTTTGATTTTTTTTTTCCTCCAGGTGTCCTCTGACTTACATTTAATTTCAATGAAAATAAAGGTAAATAAGCTAAATATATAGATTGATAGTTAAATTAAGTGTCTCCAGCTGTTATGTCAGCCATTCCTTTCAAAGTCTATAAGCACATCCATGTGTGTTTGTTTCTGGTTAAAATTTGTCATTCACAGTTGATGGTAAAGGAGCAAATTGCTCTTCCAAAGGGCTGTTTGGACTAGTTAAGCTGCTTTTCCGGGCTTCTCAGTATTTGTTAATATATATATATATATATATATATATATATATATATATATATATATATTGCTTACAATTCCTTGCTGAAGCAAAGACTCAGGCTACACTGTTAAATTTAACAAGCCTCTCAAGTACTTGCAGAATAACACATCACTCACATTATTCATGACTATACCCCTTCTACTCAAGTACAATGAATAGTCTTGGACCCAAAAGCTAAAAGTATATCTTGAAAACAGTGATATTTTTTAAACCATGAATGGATAAACTGACAATATAATTTTTCTTCTGTGAATCAAGAAGCTACAGTAATGCATTTTTTCTTAATTTCAATTTTGTTTGATGTTTTTGTTTTGTGTTGGTTTTAAAAAGAGTAGGTGATTGACAAACCCTTGTTTCATCCAGATACCCTGGGCTTCTGGCATTCTCTTTTGTATCTTCATAAAAGTGCAGGGTAATTTTCAAAATCTGAATAAAGGTGTTTCTTTATCACTGTTCCATGTTCATTTTTCCCCAGAACCAGTGCATTAGTTAAAACATAGTTAACTAGCTCCCTGAAGTAGCAAGTTTGTCTAATAAAACTTTTGGTATGCTTGTGTGAAGCCTCCACATTGATGACCTTCCTCTACTCACATCCTGGCAACCACAGAAAGAAGTCACCATGACTTCTCTGTATAATTCATGGAGAACGTTGAAAATAATGGAGTTTGAAAACCTATTTATGGATCCAGAAAGAATCTAAACGTTTAGATTTTTAAATATTTGAAATCAAATTTGGCCTATGTGTTTTCACTTTGTTTCTTGTAAAGAAAAAAAAATCTATAGATCAGCAGATATATTAATCACAGTGTTAGTTGTTTTTTGTATGTTCCTAATGATATCATATTTCCTGGGGGTGTGTAGAACAGAGTATAGGGGTAGAAACTGAAGCAGGTTTTCACCTCATTTTGAATTTGGGATTAGGAAAAAACACTTCAGGCTACATTATGAACGCCACAGCCCAAACATCAAATGACCATAAAGAAATCAACTGTTTCCCCCCCCCCCTTAGCTCTCTTATTTGCTGGGAAGCAAGTCCACAGTGGTCATAGTGACATACAAGCACAAGGTAAGACTTATTTGTGAAAGTATGTCCAACAGCTGGAATGCATGACTCTTATGGCATATTTTCCAGAGCTGTTCTAACCTTAGCCTCTAGATTTCATGGACAGATCATACACACAGTGATACAAAAGGCTGCCAACACATGACTGCTGGTTCTGAGAGATGGACACATAACAGGTACATTTTTAATGAACAGATGAAGGTGTTCATCAGAGTGGTGATTGGGTTCTCATTTTAGAATTGTGTGACTTTGTTTCACTGTCATCTTTCTATTGTTTTCTCTGAAAAAGAGGTCCAGCCTAATCAGTATGGGAAGGATGCTAATGGATGAGTGTTGAACAGGGACAGTGGGTGAGTTTGCTTAATTTGACTTCTTTGGTTAACTTTTGAGATTCTTCATATTTCAACACCAAATCTGTGGTCTTAAAATTGAGTGACCTTGTACATTTCTTCAGCTGTTTATTTTTCTAGGATTGTTCAAACAACTTAAAAAATAAAGCTTAGTGTCTATATACAATGCCTCATAAATAATTTGATGGCATCTGGTATAAGCCATTTGAGACTTGGAGCCCTCCACTGCTGTCCCAGTTTCTCCAGTTGGATGATGTCATCACAATATACTCAGGAATATTCAGCCACAATCTTTAAGACAGCTTGATTTTCTTTTAAAGAGAAACATGGCCTTCATTTCAATTATCTTACTAAACAAAGACTGTACAGGTGAGAAACTATGCTCATTATAATTAATTTAAGCAACAACAATATTCTCCCTATGTTCACTAGTAATTTTTTTTCTTTCTTGGTACTCTTGAGTAGCTAACATTTCAATAAACCAAAAGTGCATGCAGTGTTATATGCCACAATTATTTTCCAGGCTTGAGACTGAAATTCTTAAGTCATTTTGACTGGGCAGCTAATAACAATTTAGATAATTCTGTTCAAATCCACGGATGTGAGATGCAAAGCCATGGCTGTTCTCCAGCATGTTCTTCCTGTCAGAACCATTTAAATCACCATCTTACACAAATACGTATTGAAACTCAACTTTAAGCATTTTATTTTTATGTACATTTCTTTTTTCCAGAAATAAAATATCTAAATACAGACAGTGTAATGTTGTATATGTATAGCTTTCAACAATACTTGAGCTGAGTAAATGCTTTGTACATTAAGTTTGTCTTTTTAATGGAGTTCACAGCTACATTGAGTAAATGGATTCCTCAGATCCTTTTTTCTTTTTAACCAATAACAAGCAGAGAGACAAGTACAATTTAATATTAATAAGCAGCTCAAATAACACTTGGTTAAACTATGTACAATACAAACCATTCATACAAATGAAGACTAGGATATTGAATTTGTTACAATATGTGTAGTAAAGATAAGACAGACACTTTTAACTTACATGGTGTCTGCCAGGCATTTCCCTTCTTATTTAATGATCAGAACTTGTGTTAAGCAGCCTTAGTTGATCTCAACATTGCAAAGGTTCGGTGATAGGCGAGAAAAGCTATAATCCCAGTATCTGCCCACATGTAAATTCCAAATGTTTGCTCATCTTTACTGAGAAAGGGCTCTTCCCTCCATAAAAAGAAAAGCTATCTTGGATCACCTTGAATGTGCCTACTGTATGCTGGGAAAAAGTTACTACACTTTGTTGTGTTTATAAAATAAAGAATACTGAGCTCTAAAGACACATTTTTTTCCATTTAACAAGCATATAACTCCTACAGTAGTATTCACCAGCACAGCTACTCCAAGCAGTAGGAATGCATGAGTGGGGATTATTGATTAGCATGGACTCAAGACCTTAAAAGAGATTTCCATAACTGTGTTAGACACATCATTCTAGTTACTTCTTTGTGTTTGATCATAGTTTATCCTGAACCATCATGAGTCAGACAATGAAAGCCCTCTCAAAGGGAACCATGATAGATGCAAGCTGAAATGTGCAAGAGTGAGTGCTCATGTGCCTCTACATGTGATAGCATGTCTTCAGGTGAGACTTTGAGATCTATGATGATTTACAACTATGCTGAGAGATGCAGCTGACTGGGCAGAAATGACATCAATTGTTTTCTACTGGCATGTTTGCTCCAGTCAACAAGAGCAGCAGTGTAGACACATTCCAGGCAATAGATGTGACCTTCTTCCTTGAGGTAACAGCCCTGTCCTATGACCTCTAATTCCTCAGGCTTCAGTCTCATGCCCCGTTCCTCCTCATCCTGAGGGGAAGTAAGGTGTGTCACTGTGGTAGTTGTAGTCGGGGCATACTTTCTGTACTAGTTTATAGTCTGTACTATAAAAGGAAATGTAAATGCAGATCACCTTGAAGGGCTTGGAGCAGAGCCAGGACACATGACTTTGGGTCTGCTCCTGGTAACAGGTTTTTGAAGGGTCATAGTTGCAGAGTGTGTTCTTGGTAGCCTTGTCAACCTTTTCATATTCAATGCGACAGTTGAAGGACTTGGAATCTTTGGCATCAATCACGGTTTGTTGTGCCAAGTCAAATTCCACGATTTTTGTTGGGGGCACCAAGCTGACAGATACATTCCCTTGACCAGTGGAATTATGCCTGAAATAAACACTAAACGTCCCGTTGCCATGATCTACAATTTTCCCAGTTATCAACAGGTTTAGCTTCACTGTTTTGATGTTGGAATGAAAATCACCCCATCCAAACATTTTCTTAAACTTGCCGGTCTTAACAATGGGCCGTCTTTTGGCCCTGGGCCGAGGCTCTTGAAGGTCTGTGGAGTTCCTCAGCCAGTCCCAGAGGTCTTGTTCAGAATAAGGTTCTGGGGTGTCATAGCGCAGGTCCAAATCTGTGTCGTTTTCTTTACCTCGGAAAGTCTGTGAGAGGAGCCGACTGATAGACAAGTCTTTGCTGCTTTCTGTCCATATGTGCTTTAGTGTGGATTTGCTGCTCCCCGACTTCAGAAGTTCTGATTTCCCACCATTTGTTAAGTTGGCACACGTGACCTGAGAAGAGAATTTAAAAGATGGGTGTTTATTTAGGTCTCCACATCTAAGAACACGCAACACACACAACAATCCAGCCCTTGCTGCTAGGCTTAGAATTAAATGATGACTTTTGTTGCCATTGTTCTTAAAAGCACCTCTAGTATCCAGCCACTGTTTATTAAGTGACAAAATACCACTTCTATTTTTATTCAACAGTGGAAAAGGGGAGATGTGGGTGGATTAAAAACCACCAAGCATGACTTGAAGATAGATCCACATAAAACACTGACTAAAAGAGGAAAATGCCTCCTAGCATGAGTAAGCCAGATTGAATTCAAATATAAACTAAAGTAAATAATGTCTCATCACTAAATGCACCTTTGAACTAAACTTTTATAATCACTATGTTCTTTTTCTGGTTCAGGAACACCATAAGCTCTAAAACTCAAATTAATATGCCAGCTGATAACCTGTTTACTTTGACTGCTTATGTCAATACTATGTTAGAAATGAAAGTAGTTTTACAAATAGAATGTGGTATGTTTTCACTTGTCAGCACTCTCTCTCTCTCTCTCTCTCTCTCACATGCACGCGCACACACACACACACACACACACACACACACACACACAAAATGTCCTTCTTATCACCAATCACAACAAACACGATAATTTTTTAAACTTTCAAGACTCAAGATGTAAAAAATAATGTGTTTTAATAAAAGTTATAACATCTAATATTCATTAGCATGTAGACATTTGACAATATGCAAAAACAACACCAAGTCAGGAGGTCACTTCAAGTGAAGTTGTAAGAGTTACATTTGGATGGCTCTCGCTGAGATCCTAGCTCACCTCTTTGAAACAATTAGTTCCTGAATTAACCCAGGGCTAGAACAGAACCAGTAGCTAATGGGCCTTAAAGTAGAAATTGCATGCAGGATACACAACCTGGGAGCACAACCCAGAATGCATAAGAACCGACAGCCAATGCAGGTCGTTGACCACATGGACTGACTCATTTGGCTGAGATTGCTGATGGAATTCCCCCAAATGTCCATTGAAAAGTTAAGTTTCCAATTAAAGTTCTTTGGACAGATTCCTGATGAACCAATCAAAAAAAAAAGTTCTTTCTCAAGCATAAGCCTAATTTTCACACACCAACCTCTTTGAACTCCCTAGCATTTATGTAAGTTTTCCTAGTAAAAGATAATTGTCAAAGAGTCTTCTTAAATGAGACTCGTCAGGAATTAAAGCTGTGGTCTAGATCATCTCCACCTTTACCTGTATACCTATCCATGTAGGCCTATTTTTATAACATGTATCTCTACTGAGAATATCCTTCTATCAGATGCAAGTGATAGAGAAAGTCTATGCCAATTCCTGGAGTGTATAAGCTCAGTGGCCAGACATGGAAATCAGTCTAGTATACAGTAAGACCAGCTGTTTTCAAAATAGAGCAACTTTGTCCCAGCTCTGTAACTTTCTCGAGACAATACAGTTGGTGTTCTGATTTCCATGCAGACCTGTTCCATCTAAGATAAAATGTGGTTTATATCCCATGATTTCACTCTACAAAACCAAGCCTAAACACTGGAAAGACTGACACAATAACCTAAAGAAATATTTCAAGCTGGGAGTCCATATCCTGTTGTATCTGCTTGCCATCTCCAAGACAATAGCTATGCCAAAATGGACATTAACAGAAGATCAAAGTAAATTTTACTACAGGAAAGAAAACTGCAGAGAACCATATTCCATAAATAGGATTTATCATAGAAGGAATAGGCCGATAACCATGAGGACACATTTACAACTAATAACAGCAAAGGTCAGACTCATGCACTTCCATCACAGAGAAAATGCTAAGAATTGGGAGAGGGGTACCTTTGCTGCCAACTTTACTTTAATACTCAGCTCTTTCTCCTTTCAATTTTGTCCTGCTATGCATTTGATTTCTCTATTTCCTATCCACCCAAACTGTTTCCTATCTATACTCTCTCATCATTATTCAAGAATAGATCATTTTCAAGAAGCATACATGGCTAACAATAGCAAAAATTTTAAGGCAAGTAATGCTTTTAACATGGACTAAATATTATGACTTAAAGAAATGGAATTGAAGGGAGAATATTCTTTGAGAGTGTATATAAAATAAGTATGAATTTAATTCCCCAACTATCTCTTTTGCCTGATTATAAAGTTAATTTGTTATTGGCCAATTTTTAGTATCTAATATAAAGTGGAAATCAGGATAGTATCAGAGTTAATATTAGCCACATAATGACACATAGCTGATGCAGCTAAAGATATTTTAATAATTTTCTGAGTTAAATTCTTTTCAAAGTTTACCATTTTAGTTTGAGGATATATACTCAGTTGTAAAGCACTTGCCAGTATGTGCAGTACCCTGGATTCAGTACCAAGCAATGGGGGAAAAGGAGAAAATAAAGGTAGAATAATAACATTTTAATATAGTATAACACAAGGTAGCTATTATAAGCCATAATATATCTAAAAATTTACTAGCACTAATTGGTAAGACTAGTACTGATCCTTTGGCTTTAGATTAAGTTTTATGAGCATTTGCTTATTATATTTCAATAAAATCTATTTCATGGTTAAATACCCCAATGTGCACCTTCCTACAAACATCATATTTCTTCTTTAGGAGAAAAGACATAAGTGCATGCAATTTGCTCTGATTCTTTTTCTTAGAGTTAGATGTGTTACCATTGTTTGGCTAGTGAGAATAAATACAGGCATACAGAGTGGCTTTTATGGTACTTTATCTCAGAACCAACGAAGAACTCTAATGTGATACTTCTGCTTTGCACTTCTTAGCAAAACAGTAGTAAAATTGTCCCAAAATGGAAGAGGAAAAACACTCACAGTGCAATTTATCAGCAGCAGGTGGAGAGTACAAAAGAAAAGTTGTAGAATTGGGAAATATGATTTAAAGAAGGAAAAAAGAACCTCTGTATCCTATAGATGCTATAATTCTAACATATGAACAAACTTCTGATTTTCAGTCACAATGTCCATTGCTTACATCTAAATTCTATTCTCCATAGCCATAGTGATTATAAATGTGAACTCAAACTAGGCTCTGATCCTTGACAACTGCATTATCTGCAAAACTTACTTATTGTGTAGAAGTTTATGTTTTTGCTTTCTAGAGACCAGGAGATATTAGCCACGACTCTCAAAGGGATAGTGGAATTGCACAAGATTTACCAATTAAAGCATCAAGAAAAATCTCTGAGATATGTTGAGTGTTCTACATCAGTGTCACTACCTGAAATCATACTTCCACCTCTAATTTCTACTCATTGACTTACAAACATAAATAACTAGGGATTACTTGGGGTGGTATTTGCAAGCAACCAAACTTTTCAAGAAAATATGTCTTTAGCAGAACTGTAAATATAAACATTTAAAAAAAATATCATACCAAGAGTGAGAGGAGTTGGACAAGACATATGCCAGAAGTTTCATATAAGAATGAAATTAATTCTAGAAACCTTCGTGCAGCATCCTACCTTTAGCCAGCAAACCAGTATTAAATACAAACAAATCTGTTAAAAAGGCAGCCCTGATGGTAAGCATAATCACCAAAGTAAAAAATATTCTAAAATATATCTATTGGCTATATTGGATGTATATTGGATAATGTATTGGATGCTGAAATAGCTTTTAAAAAGGAATATTATATATATATATATATATATATATATATTCAAGTGCTGATTTGACAAGCTAAGAAACACGGCAAATTGAATACTCAGTAAAACTCCAAGTAACAAAGTATAACTTTAGCTATTAAACAGCAAGCACCAAAAGCAACAAATGCTTTTGCTCTGGGCAGTGGGGTGCAAAGCCTTGAGCTGTACTGACAATCAAGAAAATCCTGACTGTGGCTTCCAAATCAGTAATACCTTCACATGGTACATACTCTCACTCTATCTTCCTATTAATTGAAGAGAATATGACAATATCGACAGGAGAATGTCAATAATGAAATGCTAAAAAAAGTCTTATCAACATATCTCTTGACCTATTTGGTGTTAATAATCTTGATTACTTTTGTTCTATGAATTCAGTAACTATGGAATGAGACTCTGTTAATAAAAAGCAGAAAGGAGAAATCAGCTAAATGAAGCATGCATAGTTCTTTCTTATTATTTGAACTTGAAACAAGCTTGTTTCACATGTCAATCCCAGTTCCCTCTCCCTCCCCTCCTCCCATGACCCCCACCAATCACCTATCCCATTCCCTTTCTGCTCCCCAGGGAGGGTGAAGTCTTCTATGAGGGATCTTTCAAAGTCTGTCATATCATTTGAAGCAGAACCCAGACCCTCCCCCCATGTATCTAAGCAGAGAGAGTATCCCTCTATGTGGAATGGGCTCCCAAAGTCCATTTGTATAGTAGGGATAAATACTGATCCACTACCAGAGGCCCCATAAATTGCCCAGGCCTCCTAACTGACACCCACATTCAGGGAGTCTGGGTCAGTCCTATACTGGTTTCCCAGCTATCTATCTGGGGTCCACATGCATGGTTCATGATCTCAAAGGGTTCACAGTCTAATCTGAGGGTTAATAAAATAAATCGCACTGAAGTGCTACCTGTAGCACATTTAATGTTCTTAAAGTCACAAAGTTTAAAAGCAGTGAAGGTATAACAGAGGAGATGATCCTAAAATCTGGAAGATAAAATTATCTTGATTTTTACCTAGTAGATAATGGGACATAGAAAAATTGTCCAAACATGTGGTACACAACAGAGGACACCACAAAGCTCAGAAGGGATGTGTCAAAGGGGAACATGGAAAATAGTTGCCATGTTTCTCTAACTTTGTTTCCTTTGACAAGTATCTCCTCTCTCTTTCTATCCCCCCACTTCTCCAGAAACATTTACTCACTTCCTGAGTTTCAATTTTTAGTGACACATATGGTGAAATTGCATCAAGTAAAACACTCATCAAAACCAAATGTGAATATGTGAAGCATTACAT